AATGTCATAAATACAATATAAGCCAACCACAAACCATAATATATGAATTTTGCATGAATTGGAACTCAAACAACCGAGAAAAATCCGAAACAAAGCTGAAACATAGTAAAAACAGCATCTAAAACCTTCTTTTTACGCATGTAAACAAGCGTAATCATATGATTCATGCATCCAACCACTTGATAATTTCTTTCTTTACAACCTCCTTCATAGTCGGATTAAGTCTATGCTGGGGCTCTATAGTGTTTTTGCAGTCCTCCTCTAGCACTATCTTATGCATACAAAAGCTGGGGCTTATCCCCTTAATATCAGCAATAGTCCATCCAATTGCTCTCCGATGTGCCTTGAGTACATTCAACAGCATCCGTTCCTTTTCCCCAAGGGCAAGTCCGCTGCTATGATAATTGGTAATGTCTCTGATTAACCCAAGTAAGCATATTTTAAATTCTGCGGCAATGCTTTAAGCTTTAGCATTGGCATTCATGTAGTCRGAATGGACATCTTCTAGTTCCTCTTCAGATGCGTCGGCAAGACTTTCAGCGTCAACTACTTCTAGATGCTCCATCATCGCTTCTGTTTCCAACTCCTCTATTAGTGCTTCATCCAGTATCTTTAATACTGAGCAATATTCTCATTCAGCAGAAAATTGCATAGAGTCATGCACCAAGAATTTCACTTCTTGATCCTGCACACGCATTGTCAGCTCTCCTTTGTGGATATCTACCAAAGCTCTCCCCGTTGCAAGGAATGGTCTTCCAAGAATAATAGGAACCTCCTTATCTGCATCATAATCAAAAATGATAAAGTCAGCAGGGAAAATAAATTATCTACTTGTACCTAAACGTCTTCAATTTTTCCCTCTGTATGCGTCATGGATCGATCCGCCAGCTATAATGTCACTGTTGTGGGCCTTGCTTCTCCAATTCCCAACTTGTTGTAAATTGGTAATGGCATGAGATTGATGCTGGCGCCCAGATCACATAAGGCAAGTCCTATCTGTTGTCCTCCAATTGAAACTGGTATGGTAAAACTTCCAGGATCTTTCATCTTTGCAGGAATTTTGCTCGTGAGTATGGTGCTACAAGCCTTAGTCATTGCCACCGTCTCATACTCTCCCAGCGTTCTCTTCTTTGTGAGTATCTCTTTTAGGAACTTCACATAATTTGGCATTTGCTCTAGAGCTTCCACCAACGGTATGTTCATGTGCAGTTGCTTCAAGACGTCTAAGAACTTCTTAAATTGAACATTGTGCTCTTTCTTCTGCAACCATTTAGGATATGGTGACGCTATCCTAGACTCTGCTGCAGCATTTTTATGCTCTACCTGCTTTCTTTTCTCGGGTATTCTGTTCTGTGAATACCCTGTCTTAGGTGCTCTAGCAATTACTGGATTAGCTGATTGCTTGGATGTGTTCTCACCCTCCTTTGGTTGTTCAGATATATGCTGTGGTGGACTAGGTACGACTACTTCTGCTGGCTCACTGTCCTGTTCTGACTGAGGTTCTCATTGGTCAACTTGAGCAGGTTCCTTGATCAATTCTAGAGTGTTCGAGTGTGCCAGAGGTAATGCTTTCCCACTCTGCAGAGTGAGGGCCTTGCATTATTCCATACCGTCTCTCTTTGGCACTTCTGTATCACTTGGCATTGCTCCAACCGATCTGTTCTTCAAATCCGTAGCTAACTGTCCTACTTGCAACTCTAGGTTCCTTAATGATGCGGCCTGGCTTTTCACAGTGGCGTCATTATTGGCCATGTATTGCATCATCATCTTTTCTAATGATGCAAATGATCCTTCTGATTGCTTCTGTGCTAGCATCTGTCCTTGATTCGCAAAACCAGGAGGATAACTTACTTTCTGTTGAAAAGCTGGAGCATTGGATGTTCCAGCGTTATGTCCTCCTTGATTGCCACTCCAACTAAAATTGGGGTGATTCCTCCAGCCAGGATTGTACGTATTTGAATATGGATTGTTTCTACTAATATATGGATTCCCCAAATAATAAACTGACTTCGGATTTCCAGGGCAGTTGTTCTAATGGTAGTCTCCCTTGCAAAAAGAACATGAAATCCCTTGAATTTGATTGACATTAGCCTTACCAGCTGATGCACCAGCTAAACTTTGCTGCGTCATACTCCTCATTACCAAGTCCGTTAGATTCTCAATCTTTGAATTCAATGTAGTGTATGATTCAGACTTAATTAGCTGCTTACTTGATTTTCCTTGAACAGCTCTAGGATCAGACCATGAGTGATTATTTGATGATATTCTTTCTAAAATATTGGATGCTTCAGCATAGGGTTTTGCTAGCAAAGCCCCATTTGCGGATGCATCAATTACTAAGTGTGTGGCATCATTCAGACCTTTGTAATATTTCTCTATCTATATGCATCTTGGAATCCCATGGTGCTGACATCTCTGCAATAATCGCTTGAAACGCTCCCAGGATTCACTGACTGATTCCCCAGCAAATTGCTGAAAATTGTTGATCTCACTAYGGTACTTAGCATTTTTGCTGGGTGGGAAATGCTTCATGAAAAACTTCTCAGCCAAGTCATCCCAACTTGTAATAGATTCTGAAGGAAGGGACTCCAACCATGTTCTGGCTTCATCTCTAAGTGAATATGGAAATAGCTTAAGCCTCGACACTTTTTTTCTCAATCTTTCATCCTTGAATGAATTGAAAACTCCCATAAAGAATTTCAGATGCTGATGCGGGTCCTCTGTAGCATGTCCATGAAACTGACCCACTGTCTGGTGCGGGGGTGTGGGCGTGCGAGCGGCTAGCATAGGCGTGGGTGTGCTGCAGCGCGCACATGGCARGGCGATTGTGAGGTTAGCGGCACGGCGTGTGCGGCAGTGGCATGCTGTGAGGTTAGCGACACGGCGTGCGCAGTAAGGGGTGCGCGGGCAGGGGCATGTGCTGAGCGATACTTGCGTGCGTGTGGCTCCTCGATCGGCTTGTCCCTAAAATGGGGCCACTTGCTTGACCTCTCTTCTTCTCCACACTTCCTCTTAACTCTCATGGTTACTTCATTGGTTCTCAAAATAGTCAAAATTTGTTGGTCTGTCCAATGAAGTCTTCTTCGTTTTGGGGGTCTTTCCTCAAGCTCTTCCTTCTTGTTGGTGTAGGTGTCATCTTGGAGTGTTGGCTCAAATATGATCACATCAACAAATCTTAAAATAACCGAGCCAGAGAACGCAGGGCGTTATAGAAGGGGTGTGAGGCTAGGGAGGAAATGAAGATAGAAACAAGTCTTTGTGATGTTTTTAAGTTTCATGAAATCTCTCAGTTTTATGACCTTTCATGTTAAAAAATCGTCATAAAGTAAAAAAAGAATTATTGAATCTGTAAATATATGTTACTTCACTTAAAAAAATGTATTCAATATTTTACAACATTTTTAAATAGAATAAAAATTATTAATTACATATTCAC